TGAAGGACTGCTTTAAGGATTTCAGATAAACTACTACATCATCGGGATATATTGCTGGAATATTTATTGAATTTATTAGACATAGTTTAAAAGGATAGTCAATGGTAGCATGTGAGTTAATGGAATAATTATATTTTAAAAACTGAGCGAACATGTTAGAAATTGTTTGAGGAAACCCACGTACATTTCGCTTGGAGTTTACGAAGTCACAAAATGATTTGGGATTATATATTATACGCCGTTTGATTTTACACAAGTAAGCTTTATAACACTTTTTGTTTAATTCAAAAAACTTAAGCCGCAAAAGGGAATATTTTACATAGTATGAGTGTAAACCGGTTTTTTTGTGTAATCTAAAATAACGCGACTTCGTGTTTTTAAAATTTCTCAGTTCTTTAGTGAACCATAACTGTGTTTGTTCTTCAGGAACATACATGCGTTTAGGCACATGCTTTTCAAATAATTTATGTAAAGTAAAGTTAAAAAGTGCAACGCTGTGTTCAATATTTTCTTTATATGCAGGCCACGACAATTTAGACAGTTCTTTGTTAAGCTTTTTAAAGTTGGTTTTCGAAGAATCAAAGCGAATATTTGGTTCGTATGCTTGGGTACTGCAATTTTGACCATCACTTATAACTTCGTAAGATACCTCCATAGCAGGGTGGTAGACATCTTCGGGCAAAACTAGTGAATCACGCTTATTTACAACGAACTTAGATGCATCATCAGCATAAACATGATTTAATACTTTACCAAACTTATTGTGAATTACATTAACCTGAGTTAGGCAGAGTTCAGCCATCTGCTCTAAAAATACGTTGTTGCACGCACTAGACGCGAAAGGTACGATATCATTGTCAATGATGTTCCATGATATGCTTAATAAATTAAAATCACCCAACAAACTCATTGAATCACAGGGTTTAGTCAGTAAATTAACTGATTTCAGTAAAGAGATGAGTCGTGAATACACCAATGTGTCAGATCGGGGAGGGATATAGCATAGAGCCAAGTAAGTAGACCCTTTTCCAGACTGTACGCGAATGCATTTGAATTCTACTGAATCATTGTGTGGGAGACTAACTTCTTCATATGTGTTATGTGACCAGCTAACGGGTCGATACCCATGACTAAAATTAAAGCCATCGAGGAGCAAACTGCCGATGGCTGTGTCCAGTAACCACGGCGTGTGCACTCGCGTTTTAGCCCGGAGCTTCAGCTGCGTGGAGTTCCGTTCACGCAATCACTGGACAAGCAGTGCCCCTACCCAGTCAACCGTCATAAGCAGAACTTTTATTGCACACTAACAAAAGAAACATATCTACAAATTAATAAACCAAAACCAACAACAAATACAATTATCCTTCAACTCTAAGCCTCCGTTTGCCCGGCAGCCGCTTTAAAGAATGTGTGGCTGCCTCTAAACCCGCCCAACCATTGGCCTTATCGATGTCATAAAGGCCCCACAGAACCCCCACACTTTCCCTAGAAATCAGACCATAACGATAAATTACCAATTCATATTAACAAATTTATTAGCTCTCAATCCATTCTAAATAAAGATATCATAACATTAAGGAAAAAATTGAAATTCTTTAATTATAAACAAAAACCAAATTAAAAATTAATTATAATTAAATTTAATACAAAAGAAAATCATTGTTAAAACTTAAATCTACTATACGTATATTAATAGTTTTCAGCGGGTGTAGCTTTAATTTGTAAACCTGACCTACCTCAACGAAAAGTATCTATATGGTCATTGACCCTAGTTGCTCTCTTTGATTCTTATATAAAAATGAGAATTTAGTGGTCTAAACTTGCAAAAAGAAAATATTCAACTTCGCTTAAAATGATCAATCGGAATAAAGAGTTCGCAAATCGAACAAAACAAAAAAAAACTTTATTTTAGGTATTTCATAGGCTTATTGATCCCTTTTATGTGCAAGAAAACACTGTTCTTCACGTTTTTACCCGACGTTTCGCTAAAATCCTTAGCATCTTCAGGGGTGTTTTATTCTCCTTTTATTTTCACATCATCATACATATAAATAGACATACAATTTAAAATTAGTAATGACATAAAAAATGTGTGAACAGTTCTACAAACAATAATAAAAAACAATCACAGATTTTTAAAGGATTTTTAAAATTTTGCACTTACATATGAACACGAGTTTCAAAATTCACGTACATATATAAACAAATAAATAACATAAAAACTTAAACTAATTGGTCCGCATCGATACCAACGTCGTGTGGTACACTTGTCATACTGTTGATTTTAGCTATACACATAATAAATAAGCAGTCGCGATGTCATCCGTGTCTTCCTTTTTGTTCATTGTCTTGTCCCTCTTGTTAGATCAGCTGTGTGTCCGCTTGCTGGTGATATGTGTTGTGATAGTGCCGTGTTGCTCTTGTTCTTCTTGATGTCCGCTTCATGCTCCGATAAGCGAACTGCAAGCGGCATTTTTGTCGTTCCAATGTAAATTTTATTACACTTTTCGTTTTCACATCCTTCGCATGTTATTTCGTACACTACGATATTTTGTTGGTGCGGCTCTATTGGAGTTTTTGTTTTGGTAAATACTGAAGACAACGTGTGATTTGATCGGTATGCTAGTATTGTATTTTGGTTGTTAGTGTATTTCTTGCGATCAAATTTTTCGCTGATTCTAGGTAGGTATGTTACACTGTAGTAGCGTTTTGTCTTATTATTAGTTGTTGTGATCGTAGGGTTATTGCGTTTGTCATTAATTTGTGTTGTTATTTGTTTAACTAGGCTATGAATTATGTGCTCCGGGTAGTTGTTACTTCTAAGAATGTTGAATATTTTCTTTATATTTGTGTCATGAAATTGTTGATGGCTTATTTTTAGTATCTTATTAATTAAGTTCTTAGCAGTATTAATTTTGTACTTAGAGGGTTGTGACGACAAATAATTTATTAAACGTCCCGAGGATGTAGGTTTCGAATACCAGTCAAGTATTAAAGAGTCATTTCTTCTATGGATCATAACGTCTAAAAATGGGATCCGGAAATTTGCCTCTGTTTCTATTGTGAACTGCAATTTTCGATGATATTTGTTGAGTGTTTTCAATATAATGTCCACATCCTTTCGTTTAACTATGGCAAAAATGTCATCCACATATTTTACTATAAATTGTATATCAATTTTATAGATTTCTTTAAGTTCTATCATAGTTGCGTTCAGTAAATCGTCCATTATAATGTCAGCAATAGTGGGTGAGAGAGGGTTTCCCATTGGCATTCCAAAGGTTTGAATGTAGAATTTTTCGTTGCACGCGAAATAATTGTTATCCTTCAGGCAGAAATTAAGGATATTTAGAAGTTTGTTTTTGGGGATGTTCGTCGACTGTTTTATTTTGCTCCATTTTGACATTATGATATTAATGGCTAAGGGTATCAGAATGTTGGTAAACAACGATACCACATCAAAAGACACCAGCAATTCTTCCTCACTTACTTTTACTTTATCCAGTTTATCTTTTAATCTGAACGCATTTTTTATATTGTATTCCTCAGAGATGAGATTACTGAGAATCTTACCTACATATTTGGACAAACCATAACACGGAACATTGATGGACGAACAAATTGGCCTTAAGGGCAAGTCAGGTTTGTGGATCTTTGGTAATCCGTAAAGTCGTGGTGCAATCGCTGCTGTGCATACGAGTTGTTGTTTACCTCTGTAGTCAATAATTTTGCTTTTGTACAATTCGTCAACCAGGGTGTTGTTCTTCCTCTGTAGCGCATTTGTTGGATCGTTTCTTACTAAAAAAAAACTTTACCTTATATTTGTAAACGCGTATGTGGTTTTGTATGCTTAAGAGTGCGCATATATGGTACAAAAAAAAAATTAAAAAGTAAAAGAAAATACAAGGCAAAAAAAATAAAAATAAACTCACAAGTGTACGCGTGTAAGCATGTCTGTTTATTTGCAGGTTCATATAAATATTTATATTTACAACAAAATTTAAATCAAAAGGAGAACTAACTCATATATGTATGTAAGTATGTACCCTTTAGTATTGATACATATGCACATACAGATCCTCCAGAAAAGTTAGAACCGAACAAGCTTAACCAACCCACACGTACATACACCTGTATATATATGTATATATAAACATATGCATATTCACTATCTTATAAAAATTAGTTGCTTGAATATAAAAAGAAAGAGTAAACTTCACTTACATTTTTCTTTTGTCGGCAACGCAGTCCCACGAAGCGAAGAAGGCCTTCCTTGCTGTGTGCGTAGTGCTTACATGCACACATATGTACTATAAATGCATATATGTAAATATATGAAAAAAAATTATTTTAATTCCAGAAAAATACCAAAAAAATATTTGTTTGTGTTCCTCGAAGGGGTATTAATTTTATGACCGCAACTGTAATGCGCATGAAGACAAAAACACAAAAAACAAAAATTAAGAGTTTGCAAATTGAAGTTAAGTTAATCTCTCACTTGCTAATAACTTTAAGTAGTCCAAATTATTTGCTGTCAAGTACCCATGGTACATACACCCGCCACCTAGAATGTTGGTGCGGTGTACTTCTAGTAGCTGCTATGTTGGATGTCTTTCATGTGATATATCTCCCTTTTTCCCGTTATTGTATCCTCCAGCTCATACATACAGTTTCGGTTTAGGGATATGACTCTGGCCTTGATAAATTTTGGTGCGAATTTCGAGAAAAATTTCTTTGAAGCATCGCTTAGTGAGAAGTTTCGTCTGAACACGATGTCACCGGCCTGGAAACGCTTATTTGGTACTGCGTAGATTGTATCTCTTTGACGACTTCTCGAAAGTTTTGGTGAAGCTTTCCGTAACCGATTGGCGTATTAATTTAAGACGGTCGACCCTCTCAATTACGTTGTCATCCAATGATGAAAGTTTTCTAAGCAATTCATACTCATCCGCGTGGGTCACCATCTGCTGACCAAACAGGGCAAAGTAGGGCGAACATTCTATTGTTTGGTGATGTGCGCTTCTTAGGGTCTCAGCAATGTCTGAAATATTCTTATCCCAATGCGATTGATCGTTCTTGAGGTAAGCCCTAATTCCTGCTATTACGGACCTATTTACACGTTCGCTTGCATTGGTTTGCGGACTATATGTTAGCATGGCGCATGCACAAAACTTAGGTTTGACAACAAAATTCCTAAGTGCAAAACGACACCCTGTTGCACATACCTGCATTCACTAATTTCATCAGAAATTCAACACCTAACAAACAAACAGGAATGCAGGTGGGAACCGCGCCATCAGCAAAACGGCAAGCTAACTTCATCAGCAATAGAACACCTAACATACAAACAAGAAGGAATGCGGCGATCGGTGGGAACCGCGCCGTCAGCAAAACAACAGCAGAACCAACGGCAGAAGCGGCAGCAGCGTAAGCTAGGTTTAGGAAATAATTATTTTTGTAAGTTAGTTCTAAGTTGGAATTCAATCAATAAAGGAGCCTTTAGCTCCCCAAAAAATATATTTTTTTGTTTAAGTCAACCCGCGTTGACATAACTGGTACCCGACCAGGGACCGCCGCGCGTCGAACGTAGTAAGCCTGAAAACTAAAAAGTAAGGCCGCGAAAATCGAAAATCGAAAAATTAGCAACTACGAATAGACAAGGAACCGGGAAACTACTGCGTCCAGGAGCTTGAGTACGTGAGGAAAAAGAGAACTCCATAAACGTGAACAACACCGAATCCAGCGTGGCGATGATAGTGATGTAAGAAAAATTTGCAAAAAATAAAATTGTTAAAGAAAAATTTAAATCGAAAAGAAAATTGCAAAAAAAATTGTCATAGAAAAAAAAGGTAAAGAAAAATTGAGAAAAGAAAATTGTGAAAAATTAAGAAGATAAAAATTGTGAAAAATCAAGAAAATAAAAAATTGATAGTGATGTACGTAAGAAAAATTTGCAAAAAATAAAATTGTTAAAGAAAAATTTAAATCGAAAAGAAAATTGCAAAAAAAAATTGTCATAGAAAAAAAAGGTAAGGAAAAATTGAGAAAAGAAAATTGTGAAAAATTAAGAAGATAATAATCGTGAAAAATCAAGAAAATAAAAAATTTATAGCGATGTAAGAAAAATTTGCAAAAAATAAAATTGTTAAAGAAAAATTTGAATCGAAAGGAAATTGCAAAAAAAAATTGTCATAGAAAAAAAAGGTAAGGAAAAATTGAGAAAAGAAAATTGTGAGAAATTAAGAAAATAAAAATTGTGAAAAATCAAGAAAATAATAAATTGTGAAAAATAAGTCATAGGAAAAAAGAGGGAAATTTTTTTTTAGTCGTCCATACGAAGAAAGTCAAATAGAAAAGAAAATTGCTAAAAATCAAGAAAAGAAAAATTGCGGAAAGTTAAAGAAAATTGTGAAAAGTTAACCATAAGAAAAAAGGAAAAAAAGAAAAAGTTTAGTCGCTAATGCGAAAATAAAAGTTAAATCGGAAAAAAAAATTTTTTGTGAAAATTTAGGCATAAGAAAAAGGAAAAAAGAAAATTTTTTTTTGTTTTTTTGTCGTCCATACAAAAAAGGGTTAAAGCGAAAAGAAAATTGTGAAGGTTAATCATAAAAAAAGGAAGAAAGAAAAAAATTGTTTGTCGCTCTCGCTTGAGTCAAA